TATATATTTGGCATTTGTGCCATTTGTAACATACCTTTATATCAGTTTGAAGTCGACATTTAGGCTAATGGGACAATAAGAACTACATAATACAAAGTCTTTACTCTTTTCCAACTAGAAAAACTCCTAAATCAATGTCTGGTGGAGTATGCCTGTATTACAAGACTCAGGACATATCTCTAATAGGAATGAGGCCAGCTTCTTCCAAAAGGTTTTGTGGAATTGGTTTGGGAACCCATCTGGACCTGGACGTTCACTGCTTTGTGACTGCATCCTCAAGCTCTATCGTCATGATAGGGTGGTCCAGTTCCTCATTCAGATTCTGATCCAGAACAGGAGTGAGAGAGCTGAAAATGGGACATGAATCTTAATGAACCATGTGGAAATCGGTGTGTTTTCCTTACAACACATAGATAAAGGTGGTTGAGACTACCTGTTTGATTATGACGGTTTTTATTTACCCTTACAAATATTGCCTTAGTATTTATTCTTCTTTGTTGGTTTTATATGATCTTTCTTCTGTGTCTAATTGCACTTAATCCAGAGAAGGCACGCTCTGCGGTGTTACTGCCAAGCCATGCAGGTGTACAAGGAGAGAGGCTGGTCTTTGGCTGAAGATCATATCAACTTCACAATCGGTCGCCACTCTTTCACCCTCAGCCAGCCGGAGAATGCAGTAACAGCTTTCAGACAGATCTTGGTCAATGACAGCAGACAGACAGCTACACAGCAGTCTGCCTTCCTCAGAGAGTTCCTCTATGTTTATAAGGTAAGGTACACATGCTTCCTTACTGTCACACTTCATTTTTATAGTTAGGCATCTATTCTAAACAGCAGAATAAAAAATAAAGGCAGAAACTCTGTCATTCATTGTCACAAGTTATGATGTTATGGGTCTTTCAGATCAAATGCTTCCATTGGTGCTGCACTCTGGAACCCATTCACTTTTATTGCATGCTCTGTGACAAGCTTCAAACTGTTCTGAGCAAAGCACAGTGTGATGCTTGCAAAAGATCAGGGGCTTCGTACAAAGGGTGCATATGCAGGTCTCTCTTGTAAATGAGTCCTTGTGACTCAGTGAGACTAAACTGTATAAATGAAGGTTGAATTAATATACACACAAAAACATGGCGTACGCCCTTTTTCATGTAAAACTTCAGATGCATCAAGAATGAAATGACCGTGGAAATTCGCTTAGCCCTACGCCAACTTCATGGCTAGTGCACACACGTTTCTATGGTTACTAGTCCATTGGCGACACAGGTGATGCTGGAAAACTGTTAATGATGTGAAAACTATTATTGTACACACCGGACACACATGATGAACAATTAATATATCCACATGTATGAAATTAGATGAGTAGATATAAAAACATGCACAAAGTGGTACAGAAATACCTTTAACAACAACAGCTGTAGCCTTATTAGAGAATATAATAAATGGCACAATACGCAGAGAGCATGTATTTAGAGACAGAGAAGGTTTTCTGGACCACAGTGATGACTGGCTCATCAGCCACAGCTTCCAGTCCTTTTGGAACTGTGCTTAAAGCTGCGGCTGGTCTTGGAGCATGACACAGCGAGGAGCAGTGCGCTGCCCGTGCACGTACAGCTGTTGACCACACGGGAGTTCTTGGCAACAGGGGCATTCCAGAGGAAGCTGGCAGACCGATTGAGACTGTGCCAGTCGACCCTGGGCCGAGCCATGCCAGCTGTGTAGGATGGAATTATCCATGTCAATCAGGAATATCAAATTACCCACAATGCCGTTGAACAGGCCAACGTTATAGTGCAGTTTTCAGCGACAGCCGGTTTTCCTAATGCAATCGGAGCTATCGACTGCACACACATTGCAATAAAAGCACCATCACAGGATGAATATATTTATGTTAACAGGAAGCATTTTCTTTCAACAAATGTGTAAATTACATGTGATGCAAAATCAACTAACCAACATTGTGTCGAGGTGGCCTGGGTCAACACACGAGTCATTCATTCTAATGAATCAGAATCAGAATAAACTTTATTGGCATTGCACCGAGATACAACGCGAAAATGTACGTACAGTCGTCCGAAGATGGGCGGAGTGAACGAAGCTGTGGCTAAAATAATTAGCGCGGCCTTCTTATTCTTATTCAGAATAATATTTTGCTTAGATAAGAAAAGGAAAGAAAACATGAGGAGCGACGGTATGAAAAATAAGATCTCTCATATCGTGTCCTAGACAGGGCACAATTTGAGGCATCAAAAAAACCTAACACAGCAAAGCAACATAAACAGACGTTATACATGTACATATAGGCGGTGAAAACATTGAATTTTTAAGGGAAAGTCGTAGCATAGTCCAGAGGCCCCCCCCCCCCCCCCCCCCCCCCCCCCACCCCACCCCTCAGCCATTGTCCAGATAAGAGGTGACGTTCATCATCAGCTCAGTTGAAGTTCTGTCACATGTCCACGGCCTTGGGGAGGAGAGGGGTGAGGAAACAGTCAAAGCATCTTTGTTGTTTTCAAAACATGCCAGGAGGAGTTGAGATAAGTCCGGCATCAAGGCCACAGTTTGGGTCAGGCAGAACTCGTAATTGTTTTTTCTGCCTTTAAAGTCTCGCTGGTACATATTCTCTGATGGAAACTCCAAAACAGCCGAATTGATCCTTTACTCCAAAGTCGAGCTCACAGCTTCTCCAGATTATTCCCACCATTCATGAGTGCTGCCAGAGAGATCACAGTCCTGATACAGCTGCTCCAATTCCCTGTCACAGCTCCACATTCAGTCCGAGCACTGTCAAGCTTCAACACCTCCACACGAATTTGTAGACAACCAGATTCCACCAACCAAACAGTAGAATCTAGTCATCATCATGAATCCAATTTGTCCTTCAGAGTTCAGAGTGTCCTCCTTACCCTGACTCCTGTCGGGAGAAGTTGATCGATTTTGTTGAGAGACCAGCTGATCCTTCCAATTAAGAGGTATGCAGGGGAAAAAAAAATAGGCTTTTTAAGGGTTCACAGGACAAAAGAGCGCAGCAGGGAAGCGGGTGGGGGGGCAGAGAGGGGAAACACGTCTGGTTTCACCGTAGAGTAGCAAGAAAAAAAAACCCAGCATGGTTGGGAACAGACTATGAGCTGTTTTAACATTATAAACCGGTTCTTTTACTAAACAAATTAAAGAAATTAAATGAGTTCAAAGGCAACAAAGAGCTGTCACCTAAAATGATGTGTGCTTTTCTTAGAATGTGACTGGAGAAAATGAAGGATGCCTACCTGAGCTACCCCTGCCCTTCATTCATAGCTCTGCCACAAGAGTCTTCTTTGGACATGAACGACGCCTTGCAGAAGGTAACTTGCTGATTAACTAGTTTTAAGTACATCTAAGACCCATATCTGATTTTTTCATGACTGTTTGAACGTGATAACTTAAAAAAAATAAATTGCGTCCAACCTACAACTTTTTCATATGTGTTACTGAATTGGATATATATCTGATGTTTTTCAAAGAGACCTCAGTCTGAATGGTCATATCTCAGTTCATCCGACTTACGTCAGTGAGATGGGGGTAACCAGATCAAGCCAAGTATTAATAATAATTATACCAACCTCACATAGTTTAAATACTGCACATCTTCAGCTACAGAACAAAAGCCTAGTTGCTTCGTCTTTGTTCTTTTAATTTCCCTTGTCCTGGATGACTGAATCTACAGCAACATATGATACTAACCTTGGCGTCAGACTGTATTTATACTAACATGACGAGATCAATACTTGAGTTTGCTTTTACCTTCAGTGAACGACCACACACACACAAAAATCAGATCTGAACAAAAAAATTTAAATTAAGGATTAACACCAGCTGTGTGAACATAGAGGTCATTGCCTTACTTGATTTTTTTTGTGTGGATACAAACATCTCCAACACAGATTTTATTGAAGTACAGTTTGTCTGTTACAGCACTGATAATCTAACAGCCATAACAAGACGTTCACTGTAAATTAACAGAGAAAAGCCTGTTAAAACTCTCCTGATAATAAACAAACCAACACTGTAAATAGTTTGTAGAGTAAAAAAAAACTGTCAGTCTTGTGGTCTATGGTTTCACACTGCTGTGTCTCCCCAAGGGAAGCTGTGTGAAGAGAATCCACTGGGGGTCATATCTAAATGACCCTGCTGAACAAAATGTTCTGTAGAGAGGGGACGGTTGCTCCAGAAATGTGATGTTCAGATTTTATATCACATTGAAGCCCCTTCCTCTTCTGCACAGAGGAGTTTCTGTACCACACCGTGACTGAGACGTTGAAGACACTCTCCACTCTACCTCTGCTTAAAGTAAAGGTTTTGGTTGACATGTTTGAGATGCCAAGGTAGGATTCAAGATGCTGGTTGTGCATAGAAAGTCCAGTTTGACAGGAATCGGGCAGTGTAAGATACAAGCAGATATGTTGTACGTTGTAGTACAGCTAATAACGGCAGAACAATCTCAAAGTAAGGAAGTCAAGACGGCTTTATTTGTATAACTGAAAAGAAAACCAGGTTGTAAGTCCAACTAAAACAGACTCCTGTTAAACAAGCCTGTTCCTTGACATTGATCAACAGCTGCAGTAGCACAGTTGGAAGTGTAAATGTACTAAAAATAAAACTTAACTGTCCTTGTATTTTTGTATGGTCTATTTTTTTAGGAGAAAAGCAGGCAGCCACTCATGTGTCGTTGGATCAGGAGTTCGATCAGAGCTCATCAGCCATGTGGTGCCATCTGGAGGAGCAGCTTGTGTCTTCGGCCAATCGTGGGATCATTCCACAGAACTTCCAACCAACTCAGAGCTGTTTGAACAGTCAGACGGACAACCTTCGTCACCCGCTGGCTGTGGTGGATGGTGAGAAGAGTGAAACAATGGAAATGAACCATTGTGCCTCTTTATTATTAGTAAACAATTACCAATGGACCAAATGTCCATTCTGTCTGTTCTGTTTGTACTCCCCTCTGCAGAACCAATCATAGTTGAGCTGACATTCAGGAATCCTCTAAAGGTTTCTTTGACCTTGTCCAATCTCTCACTTCTCTGGAAGTTTACTGCTGATGGGACCGTTTTAACACAAAAGACATGTGAGCAGATCACAGGAGAGACGATCAGTAATGAGGAGGCCTCAGCTCTGCAGGTCGAAATGCTGAAAACTTCTTATTCTAATTGATCTTTGGTATTCAAATTGATTTGTAATTATTTTATTTTTTTGTCTCTTCCGTGTTTTTGTAGACTGCACAGAAAGATGGCATTGTCACGACTGAAATCATCAAAGATTTTGAGATCGGATCGGAAGAAACCAAAACGGTGAGAAGTGTTTGAACATTACTGCTGTAGACCTGGGCTCAAACAGCAGAATATAGAACAGAGTTTACGATGCATGTAATGAATGAATGAAGAGTGTTTGCATTATTAAGACTTTACTTTCAGATTATTCGTTGCTGGTAAAATAAATATCAGTCTTATAAAGCATTAAAACTCCCTCTAACCTAAACTGGGATAGTTTTAAAGTTGCAGAAAAGTGCAGAACAATTGTCTTTATAAAACTTCAGATGATGTAAGTAAATAAGCGGACACATCTGGGGCATGAAAGACCCATCAAAACTGGTGTTCTGACATGAAGACAAGGATCTACAGATGAATAAATGTGTGTTGACATTATTTATTCATCCTTCCATCCATTCTCTTCCGCTTGTTCTGGAGTCAGGTCTCAGGGGCAGCAGACTGAGCCAGGTGGTCCTGACATCTTCCACAGCCACCTCCTCCAGCTCTTCTGGAAGGACTCGCAGGCCAATTGAGAGACATAGTCTGTCTAGCATGTCCTGGTCCCCCCTGTGGTCTCCTCCCAGTCGGAACATGTCCAGACCACTTCCCTAGGGAGGTGTCCTTACCAGATGTCTGAACCACCTCAACTGACTCCTCTGGCAGTGAAAGAGCAGCGGCTGTTCTCTGAGTTTCTCCTGGAGAACTGAACTCCTCACCTTATCTTTAGGGGAGAGTTTAGTTATGCACTAAGTCCAGTTAGCTTTCAGTTCTGCAGCTGCTTTTACGTGTAGGAAAAGGTTTGTTAGCTCTTTATAATTTAGAATGTAAGATTTAAAGTTATAAATTATTGTTCATCAGTGAGTCCAGCAGTGGCGGATTCACCATCGGGCACGACGGGACACTTCCCGGTGGCCTGGTTGCCGAGGAACGGGACTAAAGGCTCGGTTCGGGTCGCACGGACTTTATTATTTTAAATAAACAATTCACTTTTGCCTGGGCTCAGGTCTCACGCTGCACTGCAGCGACGGAGAAAGCCTGGCACATCCCCCGGCCGGGCCGGCCCCCTCCCTTCCTTTTCTGTGTGTCACAGAGCAGAGACACACACACACACATTGCGCCCGCCCCCCTCCCCGCCCGAGGACTCGCGCTCCCGACGGTGTTGGCGCGCGGTGCGTGCATCTCTGAGTTGTAGAATGGAGCAACAGAGACAGCCAAAGAAGAGGAAAGGTGGAGCAGAGAGAGAGAGGATAAAAAAGAGAAAAGCTCTGGCCGCGGATGCTGCTAAGTGCTATAAATTAATGTTTGTTCGTAATGGAGCAGGTAAGAGAAACACTTGTGTTGAAAAAATTGAACTCTGGCACAGTTTATCAGCACAGCTTAATATCCACATGCTAGCTTCACTTTGAGGGACCTAAGTGGGCCAAAACTGACTTAATATAACAAATGTTTTTAAGTTTTTACAAAGAATATTGCAAATTTTATAATATGGGTTAGGATCTGAAAAAAGTTTAATGTTGAAATGTCTAGGAATTCAGATTTTTTTGTATCTAAAAAAGTTAAGTCAGGTCCTCTGGACAAATAAAAAAAAAACTTGTTGAAACTTTTGTCTTTAATCCAAAAAACTAAGTTCAGTCTTATGCATAGCAAAATATAGGGCAACATAATTTCAGTTTATGTGATTTGAGGACGGATTATTGCACCACAGAAGAAAGATTTATGTAGGTATTCAGTTAGACGTGTGCAAACAACATGCATTCAAAGTGCGCTCAATTGAACTCAGTCTTGGTGGTTTGCGTTAATCAGGTGGTGGTGGCCTGGGATGGTATCAAAATTCCCGGCCTGGATTATTGTCCCAGTCCGCCCCTGGAGTCCAGAGATCAAAGTTGTTACTCAGTCTTTATCCAACCTGCGGTAAAGGCAGCAGGTCCAGGAGAGAAACTCAGATATCTCCTTACCGGGGACACTCCTGCTCCTCCTGGGAAATCCCAAAGTGTTCCCAGGACTGAGAAGTTGTATAAAATCCCTCCTGTGAGTTTTGGGTTGTCCTCAGTCTCCTTTTAGTGGGTCGTGAAGCCTCCAGAAGACAGTGCCCAGAAGGCATGGGTCAGCCCCGATGGAGTCTCACCTGCACTGGGACTGAGCTTGACTTTATGTAGAAAAAATGCAGGTAGCTTTTACTTTGTTATACAATGACATCACAATAGAAGTGTGGGTAATATCAACATCTCAAAGTACTGCTTGAGCTTCAACAATTCATAGACATCTGTGAAAAGCATATCTTCATGATGGAGGCTTTAGAATCAGCTGTGATACACAGATTGTGTGAGACCTGTGTGTGGACATAAATGGCTTGAAGACAAGAGAGTTACTAAGAATGAAAGATGACATTGGGATTATTGAGCTAACTTTAACATTCTCCTTAATCTCAGGCCAGACTGAGGCTCCTGCCACACAGAACAGGTCAGCTGAACATTGCTGGCGTAGTTTACGACCTGACTTCATCTTTTGTTGGGGAAACAACTTCAAATGCTGAAGGTAAATAAAAATAAAAATAAACTGATAAATGCTTGCAGTGTTGTTGACTTCTTGACTGTTGTTCACACAGCTTCAGTAACCAAATCCTCAACATGAACACTGTTCATTCTTACATTTTATGTATTTGGTTTCTGTTTATTTAAAAAACTTAAATAAATAATAAGCAGAGTATATGTCACATCATGTTGCAAAAAATGATTATGTACAACTCTGAAATGTAGCTTAGCTGTCTTTGAGAACATCAGAGTTAGATTTTTTTTTTTTACTAAATAGTCAGAACACAATCAGGTGTTCATGAAAATAACAAGTCTGGATCGTTCAGGATCATTTCATTCTTTCATTATACTCCTGAAAAAATAAAAACTTGGGCTTCCTGTGGCTGCAGGTCAACAAACACCGATTCTGATGACGGTTCGTGGCAGACAGGACCTGAAGATCCAGGGCCCACGACTAAACCTGACCAAAGAAGACAAGATGCAGGTTCGACACGGTACCGATCGACGTCTGGATCCCATCATAACACCCCTGATGCCCCTGATGGAGGTAGGTCTGACTATGGAGCCAGCAGCAGCCACCTGTTCAACCGAACTGGGACGGTTTCTACCAGAATTATTGTGTAGCTCTAGGTCCATTCTTATGTACCTAAGTATTTTCTGAGCCAGTAAACACAAGTTTTTTTTTTAAAGTCTAAATATTTACTAATGTGTTTGTGTGTCTGCCTCAGGTCTTCTTCCTGCAGTTTCCCACTGCTCTGCTGTGTGGTGAGATCAGAAAAGCCTTTGTGGAGTTCTGTAATGTCAGTGCTGTTCCTTTGCGTGGTCTCCGTGTGGTGTCTACCCACCCTGACTTCTTCACCTTCGGCAGTCAGTCCTCAACACCCTCCACTCCAGTCTCGGCTGAAAACTGCTCAGCCTATAAAACATTTGCCACAAACATTCAGCTGGGTTCAGAAGCCTCAGAGAGTTTCGTTTCAGCCGAAGAGTTTGGTCAGCCATCGGGGGTGATGGAAATCCCTGTACAAGGGGGTATGCTTCAACCAGGGGAGTCTATTCGGCTGCCTCTGTGGCTCCGAGGGCCAGACCAGGAGGGGGTCCATGAAATCAACTTTCTGTTCTACTACGAGAGCTCAGAGAAACTACTCAAAATCAGGTAAAGTTGATAAATGTGTGAACTAAATAGTTTATTATTCTTCTGGACAGAGATCTCTAAGGTTGTTTCTGGGACCTGGAATTACTAGGATTTTATGTGATGGACCAATACAAAGCATTGCATAATCTGTGTAAAAAAAAATACATGGTTTTTAAACTTTATGTATTCCTTGGTCTTCATGATGCCATTTAAAACTGATTGTTATGACTAGAGCAACCACAGTGATCATTATCTCTATGAACAGGTGGTAAAATACACAAGTTGGAAATGTTGGTTTTATCCAACCAAATGTTGTTTTCTGAATGCCGTATCGATTTCAAAATGAAGATCAAAATACAAAAGGAGATCAATCGATTCTGTCCCAGCTGTGTCTGACAGTGTCTTTCTGTTTCTGTCTGCATGTGAAGTCATCGAGTGTTGCGCCACACGGTGTTTATCTGCACCAGTCGTTCTCTGAGCATTCAGGCTTCAGCCTGCCGCAGCACCGCTCCTCCTCCTCACTCTGTAGATGATAAAGGCAGCCGGGGAACTTTGGTCTTTATCGATGTGGAGAACGTCAACACGGTAAAGGAGACAAAAATAAACATACCTACGGTGCATGTTTGGGTTTTACTTCTGTTTAAATATCCTTCGTTTGTCTGACAGAGTGAAGGTGGCGTGCGGGAGTTCCACATTGTTCAGGTGTCCAGCAGCAGTCAACATTGGCGTCTCCACAAATATATTAATCCCTCCAAAGATAATGGTATGTACACAAAACTGCATATCTTGACCTACAGCCCTGCTCGTTTAATTCAAAATAAATAAATATAGGGGTTTAACAGTACACCTAAATATGGTGAGTCTAGTTTAGGGTTCAATAAAAGGAGTGGTGGCACAGATGTTGGAGAAGGTGGACCTGTGATCGGAAGATCGCCAGTTTAACTCCCGGTACCGACAACATCAAAATGTGGGTGGGAAAGGTGAAACACCCACACCTGCCTCCACCCTCATTTTGCCCCCACTCTGGACCCTTGAGCAAGGCCTTCAAACCCCACCATCTGCTCCCCCTGGGTATCCTAGATGGCAGATCTCTGCTCCACACAGAGGGCTGTGGTTGCATCAGGAAGGGCATCTGGCGTAAAACAGACCAAAAACATGCATGTTAGGCTTCCTTCAGGACCAGGCCTCCCCTGCAAGAGATATGTGATCTCATTGGGATTTGCCTGGTTAAATAAAGGTTAATAAAATAATTGCCAAGTCTTCATGTGACTTAGGTTGCTAGAAGGGAGCAGCTAAAACAAAAAGGGAAAAAAAGAGTGGTACTATAAAAGTGGACAAAAGGAACAAATGACAAATGCAAGTTTTTATTTTAATTTAATTTAAGCAAACAATAAACATCCTAGAGCACACACACATTTATAATTAATAGTAGCTAATGTGCTCAATAACTTCCACATGCTAAAAACAGTCGCCATTATTTCTCTGGGTCACACAAGGTGAACGACATGACTAAGTTCTAATTAACTACTGGTAATTTGGCTTTTATAATGTATGTGAATGCTTTTGTACAGTGCCCTGAGACGACTTCTGTTGTGACTTGGGGCTATATAAATAATAATAATAACAACAATAATTTTATTTAAAAAGCACCTTTCAGGACACCCAAGGACATTTTACTGCAAGAAACATATCAGATAAGAATTGCGTAAAAACAAACACAGTGCAAAGACCAACAGGAATAAATTGGAATAAAAAATACATAAAGAATATAAAATACATAAAACAAAGTTAAGAAGGATAAGCGAGCCTAAAGAGATGTGTTTTCAGACTGAGTAGTCTTGACCAGAGAAAGAGAGGTAGTGTTTTGTAGGTCTGGTGGTAGAGAGTTCCAGAGGTGAGGGGCAGAGCAGGTGAAGGCCCTGCTCCCCATGGTGGAGAGGTGGGCAGAGGGTACATGGAGGTGGAGCGAAGAGGAGGATCTGAGAGAGCAAGAGGGGATGGAGATGTGAAGGAGGTCAGATAGGTAAGGAGGGGCAAGATAATAAACTGAATTAAGTGACGAACACCTGTGTCTTGTGTCATAAGGAATGCTTGAGCCTGAGCCATTTGGTTGTGATAACTTGTGATATTTTTTGCAGCTTTTAATGACAAAGTTAATATTTTATAAGGCTTTTTTTTTAACTCCAGATTGCAAACTGAGCAGCAGAGAAAGAACCAAACTTTGTTTTCGGGCTACACGATGCAAACCCCATCAAGGTACGTCACTCTGGGACACAGTAGCCATTTTGGACTGGGTTTAGTCTTCGACTAAGTACAAGTTAAATTTTTTTTTTTCTTTTGTTTTAGCCAACTTGGACACCGCTGAGAAATACACGTTTGCAGATGTGAATCTTGGAAATGAACGGGTAAATTCAGTTGACTGTTTTTTACTTTTTGTTTTAGGGCTACATATTGAGGTAAAGCCTCTAATGTTACAGACAAACCCTATCATTCTCTGTTCCCAGCGTTCAGTGATGCTGGAGGGAAAAGCTCTGACATTTCTTAAAGGAATGCATATCACCCACCACCTTTAAAGCCAGCATTTTAGACCAAGATCAACTTATTCATTCATCCATCCATCTATCCTTCCATCCATCCGTCCATTGGGCGATCGGTCGATTGATCTGTCGGTCTTTCAATCAGTCCAGTCAAACATCTTCCGTGTGTTCTGAAGCCGGGTCGCTGGGGCATCAACTTGAGCAGGGAGGCTCAGACATCTGTCTCCACCCCCCACAGTGTACTTAAAGAACATGGTTGAACGCCTTCTCTAAGTCCACAAAACACATGTAGACTGGATGGGCAAACGCCCATGACCCCTCGAGGATCTAAGTGAGTGTAAAGATCATGTCCTGAGTCTTCCCCAGGGTCTCCTCCTAGTTGGACATGCTTGAAGCAACTCCCTAAGGGGGCACCCAGGGAGCATCCCTACCAGATGCTCGAACCACCTCACCTGGCTCCTCTGGATTTGGAGGAGCAGTGGTTCTACTCCGAGTCTCTCCTGGATAACTGAACTTCTCACCCTGTGTCTAAGGGAGAGTCCAGCTACCCTGCAGAGGAAACTCATTTCAACCACCTGTATCCACAATCTCGTTCTTTCGGTGACTGTACAAACTCCTCTAACACAATAAGATGGCAATTCAAGGAGGAGATCAACCTATGTTGGAAATAATACAATTGTTGCCTTTTAATCAAACCTTGAAAATAAATTAATTCACCATCTCAGTATCGCAAAATCTCAGCTCCTACCACATCGTTTTAGCTCAATATCTATCAAATTGCCTAAAGTCTAGTCATTTAGTATTTTTTCAAGGTTTTGTTTTCAAGGCTGTGGCAGTTTTCTTGAATGTATTCAGGTATTTATATTTGATAACAACAGTGGATATCACATCTCCGTTTAATGGAGCAGCCCTGTCTTGATGTAAATCACTGCTCTCATCATCTAAAGGGCTCTGCATACTCCATCCAAATTGGCAAAATTTGCTCTCAGTAACGTAGTTGTTGCATGATGAAAATCGCATCATTTTGTTCTCACAGTTGCTCCGCCCCCTTTTCGACACAAGGCCTGGGTCAAACTTTTTCTTCACAGGCATATGCGTCAAGTATTCTGAGATTGGTCTGAAGTTTATGGGCATGTTCATCATGCTCGGACATTCAGCTGCACAACTCTTCAAACACTAAATTAGACAAACAGACAAAAACTCCTGGATGGAGATAATGCAGACATTGTGTATGGAGGAGTCTATCTGCTGAAAAGTGTGGCACTTCATGATAGATGTCTGGCCAAATGGCAACTGCTGGGACAGAGTGGAGACCCTGGCAGGAAGTAACCCATGCAGTAACATAAACTGCAGTGGGAGGGTTTTCCCAGGAGCTCTGCACCATTGTCTCCTGGAATATGAAATGTGTGTCCAAAAAAGGAAGGTCCTGCAATCACGTGATTGCGCATTGACTGTTTGGTTCTGGATGGAGTATCCCGGGCCCTTAAGTCTGATCCAGATCATTTAAAAAAGAAAATGAACTTCACTGAAAGACACAGATGTCAAAATATTGTCAGTAGCTTGTAGGCTTAAAAACCAATTGTTTGACTTGTTTCTATGTGCAGATCATCAGTTCTTACACTCCCTGTGGAGATTTCTTCTTCCGTTGTTGTTCCACATCAGCCTTTCAGCCAGTAGATTTAAAATCCAGGGCACCCAACAACAGCAAAAGTCAGAACTCTGGACCCACTGACACCTCTGCTGGTTCCAACCTCACATGGATCGCCAAGAAGTGTAATGAGCTTGACCTCAACCTAATTATCATCTGGAAGGTATGTAAAATACATTTACTACATAAGGTACATACAGCTTGTTGCTCAGAAAGAAAGACTAAAGGCTAATCAAGTTTTAATGAGTTTTATCTTTGGCACTCTCCCATAAAGCTTAGAGTGCTAAAGAACTCTGGCAACAGTTGCTCTATGCTCAGTCTCTCGTTTCATCTGCTGAAGCTTGTAGCTCCTTCAGAGTGGTCACAGGTCATCGTGGTCCCTTTCACTATTCTCCTTCTTCACTATTACTCATTTTGTGAGGATGGTCTGCTCTTGGTAGATTTACACATGTTCCATATTCCTTTCATTTCTTGATGATGAATTTAACAGAACTCTGGGAATGTTTAAGGTCTTGGAAATCCCTGACTTGTACATTTCAATAATCTTTTCTCTTAGTTTAAGTACAGTGCCTTGCGAAAGTATTCGGCCCCCTTGAACTTTTCAACCTTTTGCCACATTTCAGGCTTCAAACATAAAGATATAAAATTTTAATTTTTTGTGAAGAATCAACAACAAGTGGGACACAATCTTGAAGTGGAATGAAATTTATTGGATGTGTCAAACTTTTTTAACAAATAAAAAACTGAAAAGTGGGGCGTGCAATATTATCGGCCCCCTTGCGTTAATACTTTGTAGCGCCGCTTTTTGCTGCAGTTCCAGCTGCAAGTCTCTTGGGGTTTGTCTCGATCAGTTTTGCACATGGAGAGACTGAAATTCTGCCCATTCTTCCTGCAAAACAGCTCGAGCTCAGTGAGGTTGGATGGAGAGCGTTTGTGAACAGCAGTCTTCAGCTCTTTCCACAGATTCTCGATTGGATTCAGGTCTGGACTTTGACTTGGTCATTCCAACACCTGGATATGTTTATTTGTGAACCATTCCATTGTAGATTTGGCTTTATGTTTTGGATCATTGTCTTGTTGGAAGATAAATCTCCGTCCCAGTCTCATGTCTCTCGCAGACTCAAACAGGTTTTCTTCCAGAATGGTCCTGTATTTGGCCTCATCCATCTTCTCATCAATTCTGACCATCTTCCCTGTCCCTGCTGATGAAAAGCAGGCCCAAACCATGATGCTGCCACCACCATGTTTGACAGTGGGGATGGTGTGTTCAGGGTGATGAGCTGTGTTGCTTTTACACCAAACACATCGTTTTGCATTGTGGCCAAACAGTTCGATTTTGGTTTCATCTGACCAGAGCACCTTCTTCCACATGTTTGGTGTGTCTCCCAGGTGCTTGTGGCAAACTTTAAACAACACTTTTTATGGATATCTTTGAGAAAGGGCTTTCTTCTTGCCACTCTTCCATAAAGGCCAGATTTGTGCAGTGTACGACTGATTGTTGTCCTATGGACAGACTCTCCCACCTCAGCTGTAGATCTCTGCAGTTCATCCAGAGTGATCATGGGCCTCTTGGCTGCATCTCTGATCAGTCTTCTCCTTGTTCGAGATGAAAGTTTAGAGGGACGGCCGGGTCTTGGTAGATTTGCAGTGGTCTGATACTCCTTCCATTTCAATATGATTGCTTGCACAGTGCTCCTTGGGATGTTTAAAGCTTGGGAAATATTTTTGTATCCAAATCCGACTTTAAATTTCTCCACAACAGTATCTCGGACCTGCCTGGTGTGTTCCTTGGTCTTCTTGATGCTCTCTGTGCTTTGAACAGAACTCTGAGACTATCACAGAGCAGGTGCATTTATACAGAGACTTGATTACTCACAGGTGGATTATATTTATCATCATCAGTCATTTGGGACAACATTGGATCATTCATAGATCCTCACTGAACTTCTGGAGTGAGTTTGCTGCACTGAAAGTAAAGGGGACAAATAATATTGCACGCTCCACTTTTCAGTTTTTTATTTGTTAAAAAAGTTTGACACATCCAATAAATTTCATTCCACTTCACGATTGTGTCCCACTTGTTATTGATTCTTCACAAAAAATTAAAATTTTATATCTTTATTTTTGAAGCCTGAAATGTGGCAAAAGGTTGAAAAGTTCAAGGGGGCCGAATACTTTTGCAAGGCACTGTATTACAGTTAACTTTAAAAGTGGTTAATCACTTATTTTACATTACGTATTGCATACAGTAGTGCTTCAGTGTTTTTGAACCCTTTAGAGCTTTCTATATTTCTGCATAAATGACTTAAAACATCATCAGATGTTCACACAAGTTCTAAAAATAGAGAAAGTGAAACCAGTTAAATAAATGAGACAAAAATATTAAACTTGATCATTTACTGAGGAAAATGATCCAATATTGCATATTTGTGATTGGTAAAAGTATGTGAACCTTTGCTTTCAGTACCTGGTTTGACGCCCCTGTGCAGCAATAATGGCAACTAAATATTTCCAGTTACTTGATCAGTCCTGCTCACCAGCTTGGAGGAATTTTAGTCCATTCTTCTGTACAGAACAGCTTCAACTCTGGATGTTGGTGGTTTCTTCACATTAACTGCTGCTTCAGGTCCTTCTGCAACATCTGGATTGGATTAAGGTCAGGACTTTGACTTGGCCATTCCAAAACATGAACTTTATTCTTCTTGAACCATTCTTTAATAGAACCCCTTGTATGTTGAGAATCATTGTCGCTGCATGATCCACCTTCTCTTGAGATTCAGTTCATGGACAGATGTTCTGACATTTTCCTTTACAGTTCTCTGAAATAATTCAGAATTCATTGTTCCATTAATGACAGCAAGCCGTCCTGGCCCAGATGCAGCAGAACAGGCCCAAACCATGATACCACCACCATGTTTCACAGATGGGATACGATTCTTATACAGGGATGCAGAGTTTTCCTTTCTCCAAACGCAACACTTTTCATTTAAACTAAAAGTTTTATTTTGGTCTCATCTGTCCACAAAACATTCTTCCACTAAACTTCTGGCTTGTCCACGTGCTCTTTAACAAACTGCAGACGAGCATCAATGTTCTTTTTGGAGAGCAGTGGCTTCTCCTTCAACCTTGCCATGAACACCATTGTTGTTCAGAGTTCTCCTGATGGTGGACTCATGAACATTAACATCAGTCAATGTGAGAGAGACCTTCAGTTGTTAGAAGTTACCCTGGGCTTCTTTGTGACCTCGACAGATATTACACACCTTGCTCTGGGAGTGATCTTTGTTGGTCGACCACTCCTGGGGAGGGTAATGGTCTTGAATTTCCTCCATTTGTACACAGTCTGTCAGTCTGTGGATTGGTGGAGTCCAAACTCTTTAGAGATGGTTTTGTAACATTTTCCAGCCTGATGAGCATCAACATTTTTTTTTTTAATTTACCCTTTATTTATCCAGGTAGTGTCCTTGAGCCACGAGAACTCATTTTCAAGAGAGATCTGTTTAGGGAGCAGATGGAGTTTGAGGGCCTTGCTCATGGGCCCAGGGTGGGGCGAATGAGGGTGGGGGCAGCTGTGAGTGCTTCACCTACCCCACCCACATTTTTGATGTTGTCGGTACCGGAGCTTGAACTGGCGATCTTCCGATCACAGTCCCACCTTCTCTAGCCTCTGCGCCACCACTCTCCCCCCCCCCCCCCCCAACAACTCTTTTTCTGAGGTCCTCAGAAATCTCCTTTGTTCCTGCCATGAGACACTTCCACAAACATGTTGTGAAGAGCAGACTTTGAAAGATCCTGTTCTTTAAATCAAACAAGGTTCACCTCTCACACCTGATCATCATCACATTGATTGAAAACACCTGAGTCTAATTTCACCTTCAAATTCACGGCTAATCCTAGAGGCTCACATACTTTTACCTCTTACAAATATGTAATATTGGATCATTTTCCTCAATAAATAAACGACCAAGAATAATAATTTTGTCTCATTTGTTTAACTGGGTTCTCTTTATCTACTTCAAGGACTTTAGGTCATTTATGCAGAAATATAGACAATTCTAAAGAGCTCACAAACATTCAAGCACCACTGTACACATGCTCCACTGTAAATTACGCCACGCTGTAGCTTCAGATTCATTCATTCAACCTTTATTTAACAGATAAATCACATTGAGCCTCAAAGACTCATTTACAAGTGAGATCTGTTTGGACAGACAAAAAAGTGGTTAACTGGACACATGTAGGAATTGGAGGCAAAAAAATTCCTATCAGACTTTTTTTTTTTTTTTCCTGCCTGAGTCAGCTCTGTCGTTGTATAAAATGAAGGTGGACACTCTGCGTTGGAGTTGAATGTGTTTTTTGTGAACAGGCATATGTGATCGAAGACAACAGACAGCTGATCTTGGAGGGTCAGCTCCATGTAGCGCTGCAGACGTTTGGTAAAGAGACCAGTTCTCTGGTTCCTAAAGAGGTACAAAAAACACCAAAACACACATTTGTTTAGAACTCAGTGAACATAGCATCTTTATAAAGAATTGGATAGATACATCATATCAGTTTATTTAGTAATTTAATTCAGTCCAGTTTATTTGTACTACACCAGTCATAATCCAATCCTTGTGTCAAATTTTGTGAACTATTTCTATGAAGGGTCACCTGGATTAACCATGAAATAAACTGTCATAATAAATATCACCATTTTACTGTTCCTCCCTCCAGTTTTCAGTTGGTCTGGATTTGATTGTTTTTGTAGGAGGCCCAGGAGATGGTTCTACTCAAGTTTAAGTCGGAGTTACCTCCCCCAATCATCCTGCCTTTACCAGAACTTTCTCAGCTCATTAAAACTAACCTGCACTACCCTGAAACCTTCACACATCACTTCGTCCAGGACAGGTAAGTTACACGTTTTACCTTGGAATAAAATATAGTTTGAATGTTGGAAGAAGGCAGCGCGGTGGCACAATTGGTAGAGCTGCCGCCTCTCAGCAAGAAGGTCGCCGGTTCAAATCCCGTCCGGGGATCCTTTCTGGGTGGAGTTTGCATGTTCTCTTCGTGCATGTGTGGGTTTTCTTCGGGTACTCTGGTTTCCTCCCACAGACCAAAAACATGCATGTTAGTCTGATTGGTAACTCTAAATTGTCCCTAGGTGTGAGTGAGAGTGTGAATGGTTGTTTGTCTCGTTTGTCTCTGTGTCCCTGTGATGGACTGGAGACGTGTCCAGGGTGTCCCCCACCTCTCGCACAGTGATAGCTGGATATGGGCACCAGTGACCCCCGCGACCTGAAAAAAAAGAAGCGGGTAAAGATAATGGATGGATGTTTGGGAAGACGGAGATCTTTTAAAACATTTTGTTTATTAATTTTTTTAAATTGGAAATACCCTCAATCTGCCCGTTTATGTTGTGAGCATATCTTGAAACATAAGCGAGGTACAGACTTCCGTTTTGGTTTGTCGCTTCGTCTGGGCGTAACAAAGTTTCCTTTTGAAAATTGGGTCGCCACTTCAAAATCCAAGATAGTCAGTGGTGGGCACAGCTAACCAAACAGTTAGCTTCACTAACACTAAACATGTAAAACAAATTAATGGAAGCTAACGCTAACTGCTAATTGCTAAGACGACTTTCACTCAGTCTGCGTCACCCATCTTCGTCTCCTTCCAGTTGAAGATTGGTGGGACTGATGTAAACCTGTTCATGTTGGTTTGAGTCTGTTCTTTTGATTTGAAGGTGGGTGGGATCATTTGTGGCAATTCGGCCACTCCAAACAAGAGTTACAGCCTTCTGTAATGCAGGTTGACACATTATATGTGAGGAGATAATTGGGGGATTTTATGAGCTAAATGGTGTAAATAAATAAAAAATAGAAGTTTTCCAAAACAGAGACTCTTTTAGACACGCCCACAACAGACAGGAACAAACGTGTGAATTTCTTTTAGTGGACTCAAATTTATCGAAACCTAATTAAACAGAAGCTAATTGGTCCACAAATGATTTCCAAAGTTAGCAAAAACGATAACCTGCTAAAGAAAAAGTTAGCTTTGCTATTAGCCATTAGCGGATTTGTGAAACCATGCCCACCACTGGCCACTACCATATATCTATGTAAACGGGATACCTCAATAATTTAAGGAAACTGTGCTAATCTGTGAGAGCCAAGGCCACCATTGGCCAACCCCTGGCTCCACCATTGTGCCTGGTGGATAAAATTGCCCCCTCCACTCACCAGGATCCATCACTCTGCACTGTATCAGACGAGCAAAAAGTAATAAAAGCGCCCTCTGTTCTTCTCCACATTGCAACTCCTCCCCACTTGAATATCTTGCACCAAAAACATTAAAGTTCACTTCTATTCTTTGTTCAATTCCAGTCCAGAAAAACATTAATCTCAAAATTTACAAACATTCACCGTTTAAACCCCCTCAGAAACAGGAGACATCAGAGTACCGCATGTTGTCATGGTAAATCCACAACGAACATCTCCATCCCTGGCTCTCACACCTTTGAGCCTCTGTAAGATCTAATGGTGCAGCCTGGATGTTCTGTTTGTTCTAAATAAAATCATGAAGTGCTGGAAGTTGATAGTTTTGATGGCATTTCCCAGTAACTCAGTAAATGTGGCGAAGCTCATATGTCCCAGCTTTTCATTAGCTTTGAACGCAGCATCACCTTTGTGAATCTGGATCAGTCACATTCACAGGCAGCTGATCTGTGTTGACTGATTCGTGCACAACGGGTGATTTGTGCACGTTTGTTTGACAATTTGTATGCGCAGAATATTCCTACTTACCTGAAATGTGTACATTAGAAAAAAACGTTTATGCATTTGTGGAACATATACACATATAATCTTGTATGCTTGTGTGACTCCTTTTGAGACTAATTTATCTTCAGATCTTCGTTCTCTCTTTCGCCTTCGATGAAGACGATCGCTCTTACCCTTCCTCCTGCTTTTTTTGCTTTCTTGTCCTGTCGACCTCAGAGCCTCTCTTTACACATCTCCTGAGTCAAAAATTATTATAGATCTGGTCAGCTGGTCCCTCAATGCAATTGATACATTTTTTTCCACCAGACGACAGGGTGCTGGAGAACCCTCATGCCCTGAACGGACCCTTGCAGTTGGGTATGTCATTGATTCCTGGAGTGAGTGGAAGATGATGTGCCCATCAGTGCTGTCCGTGGAGGACCTAGAAGACGTGTACATTATTGGATTTATGATAGCAGGGTTTCTGCTTTTTGGAATTGGCAGAGACCTAGGATATCGACAAATTAGGAAGACGTCGGCAGCAGTTTCGGCCATGGTAAAGCTGCCAGCCTTATGTGAAGGATTAATCTGTGCCTCGAGCTCTCAGACTCTTATGCTTACCGAGCTCAACCGCAAGCTGGACGCGATTTCTGAGAATCGTAGGCCACTCGCGGCTCCTGGAACTCGCCAGCATGAAGGATTCGATCTTGGAGAATGCTAAATTGAGCACAGACCGGGCGGAATGTCTACTAATCTGGCTGTTTGTATTCACCATTGAGTGTACCAGCAGAGCTTTGAAGGCAGACAGAAAACAGGGTCTGGCGGCCCAAACAGTTGTTGTTTATCTGAATTTGGCCTCCCCGTTGGCCTTGGACTGGCCAATTGATCTCAAATTGCTCCTGAAGGATACATAATCTAGAAGCTTCTGCCTGCCGGCCCCCTTCCCAAGGACATCTGTGGCCTTATCAGACCCATGATGTGGACACCATCTTATTAGAAATTTGGAACTTTCTGGAGTGTCCATGGACAACTCACCGGCTTTGTCGACCTCTATGCATAAATGTATTATGATGTCATTGTATGTTGCAGCTTTAAGTTGCAAGGTCTTTTTTTTTTGCATCTTTTATACTGTTTCCCGGCCAGGACATGGTGTGAGACTTTTTTTTTTGGCTTCCTCCACCCTCGTGTTCTCTTTTTCTCATCTGCCTGTATGTTGTATGCAACAGGTCTCTTGTAAACGAGTCTTCGAGGCTCAATGGGAACTAACCTGTATAAATAAAGGTCTAATAATAATAATAATAATAATAAAAATAATAGTAATAATAATAATAATGATGTGAAACAGTTTGATGTGGAAACACTGTTAGCCTCTTTGCTAGTTAAGGGTCATGTGAAGTTAAACTGGTTCCGTTTGTGTCCGCAGTCTCTGTCTGGTCCCAGTAACTCTGACCCTGTCCAACTGCTCCTTGGCTCTGATAGACGTCATCATCGACCTCAGACACAAAAGCTCCAGGTGAGTTTATCAGTGGATAAACCCGGTTGTACTGGGAGATGGAACTGTTGGGGTTCTGATCCGGTGCAGCTGGATCAGAGATCAGATGGATGCGTGGCTGGCAGCTCAGATAGCTTCCCCACAGAAAACCAAAGACCGGGTGCTTTAAATCGTTCCACAGTTTTACACCTTGTTTGGGTTGTTCTTGACACAAAAATTATTCATCAAAAAAAAAAAATTATAAACATAAAATATATACAAACAGTGGGTTAGAGGTAAATTCAAACTGAAGGCTATGGCGGCCATCTTAACTGGGTTTGTAGATGTACATCCGATCATGACCTGCAAGTTCTGTTTAAAATTTGATCTAGTGGGTCATGAGATATTTTGCTAACAGACAGACACACTCAGACCAAAACATTACCTACAAATGGATGCACACACACCAGCAAGTAAACCTCGTCTTCACCTGTGACGTCGGTCAATAATTAAATGTCTTCTTGAGGTGATGGTTGGAGCTGCACATGCCATGTTCAGCATGTATTCATCTGACTGTTGGTCCATTACTTTTAATCAGATTAAAATGTCAACGTAAGGCAACAGAATAAAAACTGTACCAAAGACGGTGAGTTGTTGGGCAGCTCTCTGTATATTTGTCAGCCTTATTTTTCTGTCTTTTTTTCATGTGGTTTCATGTGTTTTTTAGTCTGGAGTCTCTGGAGGTCCACAGTTCGTTTGCCTGGGTGGGTCAGAGCCAGTACAAGCTACAGCTGGGCCAGCAGGAGGTTGTGAGCCTCACGCTGAAAGCCTGCTTTTTTCGAGCAGGAGTCTACAACCTGAACACACCACGCATCTTCGCCAAGCCTGCGGAGCAGAGCTCCATGTGCGAGACGAGTCAGCAAACCGCCAGTCCTGCTCTCATCATCATCAACAGCACCTGACAGAACCGAGCCGCACTGAACCGGGCCAGGCCGGCGGCTGCTGCACAGGAACAAAACAAAAAAAACGAAGTGTATTTAAAGCATTCCTTCAAACAGAGACTAATGAGCTGATGGGACAGGTGTAGATCTTCATTTCATTAGCCATATTTATTTTATTTGATTTTACCTTTTACTGGGTGCTTCCCTCCTTTATGATGATACTTTGGTTTAGTTACTAACAAAATCTGCGGTGTTGGACTCAAATGTTCACTTTAAACTGAAAAGACCAAGATAAACTGCTGCTTTTATTTTTGTTAAATCAGGACCGTTCCACTTCAACAAACTGATACGGTCTGAAAGTCTTCAGTCTGTGAATGACTGAACTCTGAGGAATAATCAAATCAAATGGTGACGATATTAAACTCTTCTGTAACGTGAGGTTTAGTTTGTGGGGCTCGTGTTTCTGTCAAGCTGATGGTAAAAAAAACTAAACTTCCTCAAACTCATTTCCTTCCTGTTTAATGGTTTTCTGTACTTTCTGCTGCTGTGCAAAGGGAACCATTCAAGCTTTTTTTATAAAAACATCTTGACTTCACTTTCTGTTCTTATCCGTCTCTGAGAACGAAACCAGAATGAGGTCCATGGTAAATAAAACTATAGGACCTGGTGTAAGTCATTAAACATGCATCAAAGATCTTACAGATCCATATTTGACTCACTTCTGATGCTAATTGTTGAAGGACAAAGTTTCATCTAACTCTAAATTTGACTCGAGATCTGAGAGGACTATTGTAACTAAAGGGTGTGGGTGATTCTGCTGAAGACAGATGAATAATAAAGCTGTAATGGGCAGAACAAAGAAATTAGCAGAGAACGAGCTGAAAAAAAAAATCAAAAAAGGCTGAAATATGCATAAGACTGAATTATTAACGTGTCTATCTTCAAGGGTTATCATTGTAGAGCTATTTAAAGGGGTGACCTTTGACCCCATGACACTGAAGCTGTGCAGTTTGACATTCCTACATTACAGGGTTAAAAAGAGTTGATGCTCAGACAAAAAATGGTCCACAGACAGACTGCATTAGCTTTGGCTCTTGACTTTTTAATTAGCCTTCAGTATATATTGGTCTCGGCTGCTACCACACAAAATTTTACTTCAATATGTTTAAAGTCGATGTAAGACGAAGCATAAAGAAACTGAAAAAAGCCAAAAAGAGTGCAAAAAAATCTGAAATTAGCAGAAAAAGGCTGAAAGAGCACAAGTTGAAATGGACAAAAAGTAGCTGAAAAGAGCTCAAATTAGTAGTGAAGTAGCTGAAATGCAGCAAAAAGTTGAGAATAGCAGAAAGAAGTGGAAATTATCAGATGGACACTAAAAGCAGCTTTAAGGCTGAAAAAAGGCAAAACCAGCTGAAATTGGCAAACAGAATCTGTAAGGAGCAGAAACCGCACGGGAGAAGCTGAAAATAGCTGAACCTGGACAGAAGCTGAAATGAGCAGTAAAAGGTTGTAAACAGCTCAAAGGGTTTGAAGGATGTGAAGAGCGCTCTATTCCTTTTCAATGAGAAAAACATGGCTGACAAAGCTAAATATTTCAAATAAATATTATAAACAATATATTTCAAAATGAAAAAATACTGTGAATGGTTTTCACACTAATAAGCAGAAGATTTTGGAAGTATGAGAACAGGTGAAATAAAAATGCTAATGGTGCTGTCAGTTTTTCATTGTGGTCACCATGGTAACCACCCACATGGGTCTCACTCCCTGACTGCTGACAATGAGAGGCAGAAAGAAATGGACTGAAAAATATGTGAAAAAGATACACACACACACATATATATATATATATATATATATATATATATATATATATATATATATATATATATACAGTACATGCCATATTTATACTTACAGTACATAGAGGTGGTGGTGCTCCACTTCAATGTAGATGAGTTTTGCTCCACGCCTTAAATAAGACAAGTTAGTATAAACATTAGCTAAATTTTTAAAGGAAAAGCTTACAAAGGCACATGACCTAATCTTCATCCTTCCATCCATCATCTTTACCTGCTTCTTCCTTTTTGGGTCACGGGTCACTGGTGCACATGTCCAGCGGTTACTGAGAGGGAGGCAGGGGACACCCTGGATAGGTCTCCAGTAGCCGGAGAAACCCATGCATGCACGGAGAGAACATGCGAACTCCACCCAGAAGGGTCCCCGGCCAGGATTTGATCCGGCGACCTTCTCATTGAGAGGTGGCGGCTCTACCAACTGTGCCACTATTCCGCCTAATCTTCAATATAACAAAACAATAAATTGCGTATTAGTTCATGTACTTACTGTCAAGGTAATAAAATATTCAAATTGATATTCAAAACCATTCAACAAGATTGGCTGCTTTAGGTCAGTACAGTAATCGTATCGATCTGGGTGACGATGGCGATGAGTCTGTGGAGGATCGTTGCTGCTGTACTTCATCGTCCTGCTGCAGAACCTGGGTGACAAACTGATGACGGATGTTCTCCTTCAGGAGTTTCTGGTAGAGAATTCAAGATTCCATGAATTACAGCCCCGACCATCACACTACCGCCATGTGTGACAGTTTCTGAAGTTAGTTTCAGTAAAGAAAACGAGTGGATGGAGGTTCCTCAGTTGAAAGTACTTGAGTTGGTATTGAATGGTTGTGATGGCCGTGGCCCTCAGGGGCCACCAATTTAAAACCAGGTCAGGTTCTGTTCAGGGCTCAGGAACACTTGCACAGATCATTGTCTAAACACAGTTCATCCACAGATGTTGCTTAAAGCTCTATCAGACAAAGAAGAAGCCAGATGTGAACACCAGCCAGATACATGGATGATATGCATTTCTCCAAGGAATACCCTATTAATAAGTCATGTTTTTTTAAATGGATCATTTGGAAACTTATTTTTTCTTACAAGGAAGCGATATACAAATTTTATTTTTTGTTTTATGTGCAGACGGGGATTATTGTTATGGGGGGAAAAAAGTCGATCTGTTTTGATACAGTTTAAGAAACAGATATGCATATAAAGCCTTGTGTATCTTTATTTACCCATCAGACATTTCTGCAGGTTTTGATTTCTTGTAGCAACACTTCTAATCACGTGTCGCAGAAAGAAATTCTAATAAAACCGTCGGAAGCTATGATTGCACGTACATCTACAACCAATTATACTTTAATAATTGTCTTTTTTAATGTATGTGAATGTTTATAGTGCCCTGAGACGACTTCTGTCGGGACTTGGCCTAATATACAGTAAATAAACTGAACTGAAATCATTTATGGAGTCAGCTATATCTAAGATGGCCGCCACAATCAGCTGACCTTAAAAAACACAAAACCTCCCGTAACTCGTGTTTACAGACTTGGACCTAAAACTTGGTGTGGTAGTAGCTGACACTGATCCTCAGTGTATATTTTGAGATTGTGCACATTTGTTTAGAGACAACTCTGTTAGCAAAATATCTTGTGTTCTTTGGATCGATTTTAATACACACATGATGAGCACAAGAGACTTAATAATGCATCAAATCATCTTTATTAAAGATTACTCAGCATTTTTAATCAAATTCAATAACAGCTATCAATAATCAAGACAAAAATAATCTCTAAAGTGTGATTACATGTTAAATAATAAAATATAGCTTAAAGTATTACTTTTTATGTTCTCAGTAAACAGTTCTAAGAGCAGAGATGGGTGATCTCCCTGAGGCGGTTCAGAAACCGGACCAGAGGTCCGAGCAGCTGGTTCTGGAAGGTTCTGATGACAAACAGCAGGTCTTCCGTTCTGCAGCTGCAGGTCGTAGCAGCAGCTCTGCTCAGAAGGGTCTGGCTCTTTGAGTCAGTCGTCTTGTTCTGGGACGGCTTCGTACCGTCTCGGCTGCCGGTACAGACAGTAGTGCTGAGTGATGAAGACGATGTCAAACAGCACCGAGAACAGGCCCAACCCGAACTTGGTGGGATCACCGAACACCAGCTGCCACTCATCTGAGGAGACACACGTCAGCAGGAAGTGTTACGGCTCGTGGCATGGAATTGATTTATCATAAAACGTTTGAATTCCCACGTCTTGTCCTCTCGCACACGTCTTGATGCATTTTGGACCTTCTGAGTTGCTTCATAGTAAAAATGTACTCAAAATCTGCAACACAATTCTCATATGTCAATATTTATTTCTGCCTTAATACTTGCTCAAAACCACTAAACACTTTCAGGATTGTAACTCTTCAAATGCCAGTTTATGTAGCTGAGACATTTCATTATAAAGAACTACAATTTTTGTCTTTAAATAAATAAATAACATTTGGTCATTTTATCACAGCTGTGGCACATCACATTTGTTTTATGTTCACTAATGCTTGAATTTGGACGCTCATTTTCACATTATACATGATAAATAAAAGAAACAATTTTCTGAGTGCGTATGGACTCAGGCCCGGAGTGGCCAATCGGGAGGGTCTGGAGAATTCCCAGTGGGCCGGTCTGATTTGTGGGCTGCAGGGCCGGCCCTCACCATTTTATTTTAATTTTTTAGAACTTTTTATTAACAACATATAAACACAGAGCACGTTACCGCTGCTCCTGGGCCACCCCGCCTCCACTGCAGGGCTGCAACTCGTTTTTTTTTTTTTTTTCTCTTTTTTCCACAAGTTGGCTCCGCTGCGTGACCTGTCACTCAATCCAGCAGGCGTGTCAACAAATGACCAATCGGTAACCTCAATTTGTCCCGAAGGTAAACGCCCCTTACCTGCAGATATGTGGCTGCCTGCAGCCAGGACGCTTTACGGTCAGAGGGGTTTGTGAAAAATCACCAGAACAAATGGTTAAACGGTGTCAGAGGAGAACAGGTAATCCAGACACGTGTTACCCTGAGCGTTGAGGTGGGATACAGTTTATTCTTTTTCAAAAATGAAACGGAGTTTGGAAAACATGTAAAAAGCCGGGGATCAACCCCATCAGCTGATCACAAGTTATAAACAGGAAGTAGCTACCACATGTTCATCTCTACGAAAGTAACTGCAGGTAAATCATCTATTTTCTGTCATAATTACATTGTATGCTTAATGGTTAAATTAAAGGTTAATGCTTAATTCATGTTATGTTTATTTGTCATATGCAGGTTAACATAAGGTTAACAGTACAATAAAATATTCAGGATGAGAAGAACTGATTTGACTCACTAAAACAATGAACAAACAAACAAGAACTACAAAAGCATTCAATAAGTGCAGCTACAGCGTGCGCTCTCAGGACATTATTACCTGCAGTGTTCCCTCAATGAGGACTGAACTAGGCAAGAGGGCCTTCTCCTACTCTGCTCCTGTTTCCTGGAATATCTTACAAAAAGATCTGAAGCTCTCGACCTTGACCTCTCCAAGTGGCTTTAAGAATCTGTTGGACTCCTGGCAGGGACCAACGCAGACATGTTCCTGTTTTTAGTTTTCTACATTTGCCTTAGAATCTAGCTGTTTTTTTGTTACCTTTTTCTTTTAGCCATCCTATTTGTTTAAAAAAAAATCAACTGGAGTATGACTTTTTATAACTGTTTACTGTTGTCGCCGTTGTCCATTGTTGTCATCATTCTTTGTTGAAATCAGGTCTCGCTTGTAAATGAGTCCTCGAGGCTCAATGGGATTTACCAGACTAAATAAAGGTTGAATGAATGAAAATAAGGGTACAACATAAAGTACTAAAAAGTGAAAAAGTAAATACAATATTTACAAGGTCCTAAAGACAAAATAGTAAACAACATGGTAGAATATAATGGTGCAAGTAGGACGAATATGTATGAATAAGTATTTCAAGGTAGTAATATAAGCTTAAATGCACATGATGTATACTGCACATAACTAACATAAATGACACAGGTTGTGTGACAGGTTATTGCACAGGTAGTGAGTAACATGGAGAGCAAAAAAATATTAGGTGTCACAAGCTAATATTAGTCATATTAGTTGTCACAGATGTGGCTTGGTGCAATGTTATTGCCAGTTGTTCAGTGTTATTTAATGAGAGTTCAGTCATCTGACAGCTTGTGGACAATAACTGTATTTTGAGTCTCTAGGCTACACTACGGTATGTTTGTTAGACTGTGGCTAGGATGCATGAGAGAAGCGGAGCGTGCTCTATTCACACAAGGAGAGCTGTTGGTCAGGCAACTTCTTGTTTTGCCATTAACTATAAAATAGTTATTGAATCAAGTTTTATAATGTCAGCAATGGGGGCTAATGCGTCCCTAAAGGGCAGATTCTAGAATCGCCCCTGATGTAAGCTTATAATTACATGATTTTTATAATAATAGGTCGTGACCTAAAGTGGGCCACTCTGAGGCATGAAACTCCAGGGCTGAAAATGAGTCCCACTCCAGTCCTGACTAATGACTCAGCATACAGGCCACACAAATGCTGACTCAGAATTCACACCAAAGTCTAAAGGAACTTAAATGTTGCTATTATTCTTTGGATCTAAACGTATGAATGAATTCACAAAGTGAACCAAAATAAACTTTGAGAAGAAAAACAGATTTATAGAGAAAAATTATAGTTTTGTATCAAATTGTAATATTCATTTCTGTGACAACTCCAAGAAACAAAAGAAAAATTGGATGTTTTAATCCTAAAGACAGTCAAATAAAAGCCATCAGAGAATAAAAAGTACATGCAAGAAGTATAATTACCATTGTTGTAGGACTGTATGATCATCTGTAAGATACTGAAGACTCCACCTGTGAAGTCTAACAGGACGTTCCCAATGCTCCAACCATCAGTGCTCCGTCTTCTGTAGTTCATGTACGCCTGCGCACGCACGCACACGCACACACACAAAACAATCAACATCAAAGTTAAGGACACCACTTGCTTACAGGATGAAACCCCTGCATGTCTAATGGAAATTACACAATAAAGACAAAACTGACGTGAAGATGAGGGAAAGAAACATTTCCAGAGAAAATGTCATGAATCAGAACCTGAACTTACACAAACCCATTAAGAGAGCGCATATGGAGACAACAGAAACAAGCAGTATGCTAATGTCCCCCCTCACTGAGGGGTCTGAGTAGTGAATGTTTATAGTTTTGAAGACGAGTGTTTTTCTGGACTGGAGTTGAACAGAGAATGAAGTAAACCTAAATGTTTTTGTTAAGATATTCAGGAGGGCAGGAGTTACACTGTAGAGAACAGAGGGAGGTTTTGTCTTTTACTTGTGTGAGGCAGCGCAGAGACCGGAGAGAGGAGGGAGACATTTTATCCACCACCAGGTGTAGTGGTGGAGCCAGGGGGTGTCCAGTAGTGGCCTTGGCCCCCCATTGAATAATATTCAGCCAACCCAATCATTTGAGGAAAATATACTTTTAAACAATATAAAAAATAGAAAACATTGTTTCCTCAAATTATGGTGGTGGCCATCTTGGATTTCGATGTGGCAACAATTCTTTTTCAAACCTACTCTAGATGCAGCAACACACCAAAATGGAAGTCAGTACCTCACGCTCATAACACAGACAGATTCTCCCACTTCACTCCGCGACACGGGACAAAGAAGCATACGACAGGATCTCTGCTGCAGATTGTCTCACAGGTCCACAGCTCAGCGCTTGAAGGCTTTGGGACAATCATTACTGATCCACCGTCTCAGATGGGATTTCGATGTCAGAAAGCAGGAAGTGTGGGGGGTTCCCACAGCCCCTGGGTTTCATGTACAAAGGGTGCGTACACACAATAACTTTGCAAGGTGTATTTCCACACAAAACTTCAGATGCATCAGTAATGAAACGATCAATGTAAACAGCTCTATGCCAACTTTATAGCTAGCTAGAGATATTGGTACGTTGACAACACTTGGGGGGGGGGGGTCGCTGCAGCTTCATGAGTGGATTTTAAAGAGCAAGGTGGTGCAGACACAAAAAAATCCAACATAAAAATACAAAACCCCAAAAAGCATAGTACAGAGCATTGAGAGACTGAGAGGATCTGAAGGTCCAAGATGGCGACTGATCCCATAGCTGCTTGAAGTTTCAAAAGGCAGTCCTGTTGTGCCTGAAGTTGGGGGGCTGTGCACTGCCTGTGGTTTAGACTGGACTTTGTAGGAAAAGCGACATTTCAAAGAGAGATGGAGTTGTATTTATAAACATGTATAAAGATGGAAATGCTTCAGCCTCATCCTCTTCCTGTACACATTTATTTACAATGTGTGTATTCTATGCAAGTTGTATCCAACTTTAAGGGATGAGCCTGAGTTTGCATATAAAATATAAAATATAACTACGCATTGAGTCTAAAATTATCTGCTTTGGTGTAGAGGTTATTTTTGATCGAGAAGCAATGAGAATTATCTGAGGTATGGGGGGGGTTCCCTCTGTTAATCTTACCTGTGGGACATATTTGATCAGCGTGACTGCGAGTTTAATGTAGGAGAAGTAGTAGAGATAATCCAACCAGGTGATTTGTTTGGCTACAGCAAGAAACAAAGTGACCAAAGCAAAAGTCCAGCCTATGAGCAACAAGAACCTGGCAGTCCACGAGACCTTCTGACCATCCCTCTGGACAGGAGAGAGAACACAGGATCATTTTATGAATTACCATTATGGTATGAAAGTTGATGGTTTTAAATATGTACTTGTTAAAGTTCAGACCTCGTATGCAGCAGCCTGAATGACATAGATGATACAGAACAGAAAAGCATGGAGGCTGAAGAAAACATCGTTAGCACTGACTGGATTAATACCATTCGGACTCTTCTGCAGAAACTCTTCCTGAGAACACAAGAACATGACAGTTTCACTGAATAAACACAGACTGAATTCAAGGAAAGAAGAAATGCACGTTGCCTGTTAACTTTAACGCCATATTTATGAACCAATGTTGGTCTGTCATCGATATAAAAGCTACTGTTCCGGGTGCATGCAATCGGTGAGGACGGAAGGTTACCTGTCAGACCTGCTACCCATCAGCAAAAGGTGTTCCCCAAGGTGCCATACTCAGTCCAACTCTTTTTAACATATGCATCAACAACGTAACAAGCTCTGTAACACTTTTTATTCTGTGTACATCTTTAAACGCTTAGGGAGGACTAGGGCATTAACAGAGTACTCGAGTAATCTACACATCGATTGCTAAGACCTCTATCAAGGTTAAAAATGTAAAGTCGGGTATCCGTAGTGACGTCATATTATGTGACCACCGTATGACCGTAGGGGGCGGTGTTGCACTGTTGCAGGTCACAGAGTATGGTGTATCACTGGGTCCAATACACCACCCATCCACTGTTTTAAGTTTAGTTTCTGACATGCTGCACGTTTCTTCCCGTTTGCAGTTTAATAATGATAACCAATAGTTTAGTTTTTCCTGTGACTTATTTGCAGTATGATAAATGGTAGGAGCATAATATAAGCTCCCAAAGTTTTGCTGGTCATTTTTTTTTTGTAAATAATTACCTTTTATTTTGGTTTTATTTATTTATTAATTTTTGTATCTTGAAATCTATGACGTCATCAAATACTCGAGTTCTACTCGGGTTTTATTATGTTAATGTCGAGTTTAAAAATTATATACTCGTTCAACCCCTAGGGAGGACATCATTTCATGACCGTTGCACATGCTTTTATCAATCTCCTTTACACGTTCGGTTACATTATTGTACCATGGACCTGTTCTAGCTCTTTTATTGTTAAACACAGCCATGGTCTGTACGATTTGATGTTTGGATGTACTTGCTGCCTCGTGGTCGTCAGTGAAAATTAGAATTTGTTCTCAGCTAACTAACCTGGTTAAATAAATGGCAAATAAATAAGAAAAAATAAAAACTGAGATTGTCATGCTAGTAGCTAAGGCTGATCCTCAACAAGTTAATTTTTACCATAAACAGTTTTGAGTCAACTATCTCTGTTAGCAAAAAAAACTTGTGAATCAGTGGACACATTTTAAAGAAACTTTTATGAATCTTTGATTGGAAGTCGACAGCTGATAACTTTTAACACCAACCCAATTCAAGTTGACTGTAACAGAAAACTGGCCTTACAAAACACAAAAACAGCTGAATTTCACAGATAGTGAGCTAAAGTCTGGCGTGGTAGTAGCTGAGAGTCAGCACATGCTCATCACAATTGAACATTATTTCAAAGGTTTGACCAAAAATGATTATGCCTTCATTTGTCAACATGAGGGGGCCTTGGTTTCAAACTCTGGTATGAAATTAATCAGGCGATACGCATTCTCTAACAATGCTTGACCTTTATTTGTTCAATCAGAACCGTCTGTGGCTGATTCCACAGTTTAATTCTCAGTGGAACTGATCCAGACTGAGAGGATCGTTCTTCTTTAGAGGACAGAGTTACCTTTATGTACGGGATCCAGAACAGCCCGATGTTGAAGACACTATAAGCTATGAATCCTGTCAGGTTCAGAGCCAGGAAGTCGAAGTTGAGACCTACAACACTGAACACAAACGTTAACTTTATATTTTAAATCTGATTTTGGGGGGCGGGGGGTTCCTACATTTTTGGGCACAGTTAATCCAGTTAGAAACAAATAGATTAAATAAAAGTGCATTATGTTTCTGAGGAACCTCCTGACTGATGCGTCTTCACTTCATAAGTGAAACTGTTCAAAGCAGATGTTTACATACGCCGTTTAAAAAAATAACTGTTTTCTCTGTCTGACATTAAATCAGACTAAACCTTTACTGTTTTAGGTACAAACAGGAAAGGTTTAGTTTGAAATAATGTCAAAAAAAGTATATTTGCCGCTGCATCACTCCAAACTTTCCAGCTGAGGAACAAATAAAAGATCTCCTCTATTAATTTCTATTTTATGACCGTTTGTTTAATCCAAAAGAAAAAGTAGAGGACAGACAGATCAGTCTACCTTTTCCTCCTCCAGTTCTCCCACGCCTGAGGGTAGAAAGACACGGACCAGGCCACAAAGTAGATCCATCCGATCACATCACTGACCACTGCCAGAACCCTGCTGTGGATCACTGTGAACCGGATCCTGAAAGACAAACTGAACAGGGATAAAGGTTTAGCAGGGGTGTCAAACTCACTTACAAAAGGAGGCCGAAATTAAAACCTTTTTCAAACTAAGGGCCAATTTTGAAAACTACATTAACTCAAGTTAGATACCCTAAATCTTTTCTTCGTCACAGATTCCTCAACAAGAGTTTGATTGCTCTCATTTGATGCTCTCTGTTGTGCTTTTGACATCATAATCAAAGATTACTGAAAAAAGTCAAGAGACAGAAGTATTTTACATTTCACATATCTTCTTGAGGGCCAGATAAGATGTCAACGAGGGCCACATTTTCCAGGACATCCATGTAAAAAAGATTGATGATCTCAACAGATTTCTTCCTGGTAAAAATAAAGTAATAAAAAAAACATTTGGCCCCCGGGTCTTGAGTTCGACACATATGGTTTAGAGACAGAACTGGATGGTTCTGGAAAGCCTCTTATTCTCAAATGATTTCCGTGTCACAAATTAGTACAAGTAGTACACCGATGGAGGGATAGTGAATAGTGAATATTTGTGGTTTAAAGATTAATGTTTTTCAAAACTGGAATTAAACAGGGAATGCAAGTAAACCTAAATGTTTGTGTGCATAATAGTCAAGTGGGAGAAGTTACTTGGTGAATAAAAAGAGAGAGAGAAGTTTGAACCCCAGACCAAATGGTAAGAGAGCTGTGCAGAAACAAATGACTGAAGCATTGTTGTAAAAACTAAATGAGGGCCAACATTTCTCTATAGTCATGTGAGAGACAGTTACTGCTGCAATGAGGCCTGTGTGATGAAACTTCATCAGTACTGGTCTGCAGGACTTTATCAAGACTAGAGAGCAGCCCAGGATTTATGACTGTTCACCAACAACATGTGACAAAAAATAATATTAACAAGATGTTGGAGAAAAATAATCTTACTAAAAGAACCACACTCGATAGCAGGGGAAGATTTTTAACCAGGATTTTACTTGCAAGGTCAGATTTTCTGGACAGGTTGCATAAATATACATAAATGTACACACATGAAGACCAGTCACGAGAATCTGCATCGAGCTGCCCCCTCAGCTTGCTTTAACGCCCTTATCATTTCAGCCAAGTTCACAGAGCATAGGGGTGTCCATGCCTGCATACTGCAGCCATCTAACCCAAACATATGGTTCATGGGCGGAGATAAGATTCTCAGCCATAGTAATAAAAACATCCATAACCATTCATCCATTATGTTTACCCGCTTCTTCCTTTTCCTTCAACCAAAAATCCTCTGATACAAATGTACCACATACAGCACATTATCCACCCCACAACAAAACATTATACAACGGTCTAACTAGTGATGGCCTGAACAAGCAAAGACCTTGTATAACCTTTGACCTTGATTTGTGTCTGGGGTGATGAAAAACGTATGTGACGCTCCACTAGTGATGATGCATAAAAGTGTATGAAGTGTTATCAGAGTCAGAGTCAGAGTCAGAGTTTCTTTATTGTCATTCGCACCTCATGTGGTACATGTGGTGGAGCGAAATTATGTACGCAGGGTCCCAGTTACATCCAACAATAAAATGTATAAGAAAAACAGTAATGACATCTAAGATATGAACTAAGAAAAACATCAACTAAATATACACTAAGCACTCATAACATAAAACATTGAACATCAGCACAAACATGATCTTGAGTGGATCAGAGGTTATGGTCCAGAAAAGAGAGTTTTTGGACAGAGACTATTAATACGTCCTCCTTTCGAAGGGCAAATTACTACTACTAGTCTACTACTTCTACTACTAGTCTACGACACCGACACAAACTAATCCCAGCCTTTGACTCGTGAGTCAAACACTGAGCTGCAGCCGGGACTGGGAGTTGGAACATGTGGACATAGACTACCAAGATTCACTGAGAGACTCTCAGATGTCCTCTTAAGGTGCAACAGGTTGTCCTGTCGTCTACAAATCTGTTCAGTTTATTGTTAGGCCCCACTTCCTCCGAGTCATACAACCTTCCAGTTAGGAAAAGACTGGTGGCGTTGTAGTATCTTACAGATAAACTTTGTTCAAATCTCTGACAATCTGCGGTCAGAAAGATTCTGTCACATGGACCCGTCTAATCCCTGGGACATTTAGGTGATCATTTCTTTTGTAATAAATTGTTAAATATCAACAAGTCTGGTCTTCCTGTATCATTTTTTTGCCTGTCACTTGCACCATAATTATGCCCTGTGGTGCTAAGACACCTTCTGTGGGTTAGCTGATCTTCATACGTGACAAAGACCAGAACTTTAGCTACATTCAGGAATATAAAACTGAAATAAGACCAGGTGTTACCTTCACTTTCACTTCAGCATGCTTAAACATTCAGTGTGTGTTGCCTCTGAACTCACCTGTTCAGATCTGAAATGTTGCTGCGCAGGTGTGTGGTCACCTGACCAACATCATGTGACGCCACCGTGAAATTCACTGAGGTCGCCTCCTCTGGAAGGAACACCTTAACAAGAACAGAAAACAGAAGAATGGCCAAAAACAAGATGATTTATTCAAGTTAAAATCTAAGACTTCAGATAAATAAAAACAACATGCGCTCACATTTCACTTTGAACATTTATTGAAATACTAATTTTAGTGTGATTAGCATCCTCAAACAGTAAATTGTTCCACAACTATGAAACTTTGAAAGACAGCCATGAGCAGGATGAGAAAACAAAAATATGTTTTAAGCAGAAGAAACAGCTTCTGTTCCTGTGGATTCTTTAAACTTTACTGTGAACAAAATACCATTTTTATGAAATTACAAGCCCAGTTATTAAAACAATTGTGTTTAATGTAAGAAAAACAGAACTCAGTGATCTCATAAACTATGTTTACAACAATGAACATTTTTTTGGATAAATTAAGGCGATTTTAAATACTATGGCAACAACACATCTTTAAAAAGCTGGCAGCAGGCCATGTTTCCACGGTGATGCATCCCCTCTTCTTTTAATGACAGTCTGAACCTGAAGGGACCAGCTGCTGCAGGTTTTAGTGGGGAACATGGTCCTGTTCTGGCCTGATGGAGGGCTCACTCATGGCTCTTCTTCAGTTTTTTGTTTCTTGAAGTGTGTTGTGGTGTTTATAGGAAAACAAGAGACAACAGTTTAAACTCTCAAACTTTATTTTGGCAACCGTGGACGCTCCATTTTTTTTAACACGGCTGTCTGTTTTTTTACTCTGTATTCTTTTAATGCAACTTTTTCTCTGCCCTGCACCAACACAGCAGCACCCTCTGGTCTTGCTGAAATATACAAGACCTTCCCTGAAAAAGATGTCCCAATGGGAGCAGGTGTTCTAAAGCCTGTATATACTGTTCTGCATTGATGGGAGTCTTTCCAGATGTGTCAGCTGCTCATGCCAGAGGCAGTTATGCACCCCCATAATGAGAGATGCAGGATTTTGAACTGTGCGCTGGTAACAGGCTGGATGGTTCTTCTCTTTAGTCCGTTTTAAATTAGTTCTGGTCCAGTGAAAATTACAGCAGTTCTGGATGTGTTCACATCTGGCTTCTTCACATGAGAGAACACTTGTGCATAACCAGGTGAAATTAATGATAAGAAGAACTGCAGATGATGGGACATTAAACGTCTTTCAAACTGTCCGTTGAAGATTCATAAACTGTTCGACTATTTTTAGATGGTTTTTCAGAGACTGGTGAACCTCTGCCCATCTTTACTTCTGAGAGGTTCAGCCCTTCTAAACTGCTTGTTTTAGACCCAGTCATCTGACTGACTTGTTAACTGCAGAATGCTTCACCAATTTCTTATTCATGCCGCTAACATTTACAGCCTTTTGATAACCCTGTCCCACCGTTTTATTTTATGTTTTATGTGTTGCTTCCAAAATATTCACCTTTTCCAGAAAAGGGGCGATACAGTAATCCCTCGATACTTTGCTGCTCGACTTTCGTGGACTCACTTTTCGTGGGTTTTCAATGCAAGATTGTACATGACATGCGATTGGCAACAGGGAAAGACAGACCTCAGACCCCGCCCCCTCCTTCCTCTTTCTGAGGCTGTCTGTCACAGCAGAGGCAATGGAGAAAGACAGACCCCAGCCCCAACTCCCTCCTTTCTCTTTCTCTGCTGTGACAGACAGCCTCAGAAAGAGAAAGGAAGGGCTGGGGTCTGTCTTTCCACATCATTACTGCTCAGGGAGCACAGGTGAACAGATCAGATGAACAAATGTAGAATAATTGGGAAATGCTTAGGTGGACAAAATAAGTGAATCAATTTAAAAAGAGAAAGAGAGAGTGGCTGAGTGCAGCTCACTCAAGTATAAAAACAAACCCATGATCAAGCACTAACATTGTTAAGAACATTGCAAGAGTGTGAGAAGGGTTTATAAAGCCTTAAAATATATATAAACATTCAAATACATATAACGTCCCTACTTTGCAAATGTTCACCTATTGTGGGGGTGTTTGGAACGTAACCCCCACAATAAGTGAGGGACTGTACATTTTACCTGTTCAGGCAGAGTGATGATGGATGAATAGTTCTTCTTGGAGCTGTACGTTACATTTAGATGAATCACTGTTGACTGATGTTCAGCTGATCTAAAATAAAAGATAGAAGGAAAAAAAAACAGTTCAAACTACAACAAACCTCAGTTTATTCTCTCTATCTCAGTGTTGAAATCATTCTGTTGTTCTGTCACACTTGAACTAGAAAACAGTCCATATGAGACAACATCACTTCCATATAACCCTCAGATTCATGCCTGTAAAGAATAGACCAGGTAAGCCAGAATACAGGAAGTTTCCTGCTGAAATCAACACTATGGTGCATTAAAACACCAACGAGAGGATCAGGTTCTGTTGAAGCAGCAACCACGATTTCCTAAATGCAGCTGAACAACTCAAAAGTAAATATAATCATGTGAGATCTCTCCTTGAGGGCATCTCCACTGCGATGCCCAGAGGACAATTCGACGTACAGTACAACCTCAGGCAGGCGGTGGTCTTCCATTCTAAACACGTGCCTTGCCCAGCACCATCATGCCTGAAGGAGCATGGTCTCAATACTAGTGACCTCTGCCTGAGGACCGAGACAATGGTTATTAAGTCACTCCAGTGGGTGTTAAGGATGGAGATGAGGCAGCGCTGGTGGAGACATTCCAGGAGTTGGAGGTGCCATTGATAACTCATCCAAGTCTCTGAGCCATACAGGAGGATGGTTAGTACCACTGAGCTTTATATTTGGACCTCCATGTTCAACTGTCACCCCCTTTCAATGCTGTTATTGCCAGTATCACTCAGCCCTCTGTGAATAGCAAGCGGCCATCAGGGGACTAACAATCATTTGTTAGGCTGATGGTCCTCCTTTTCCATGTGAACAGCTAGTTCTGGATGTCAACAACAAACTGGTTGATCCACTATGAGAAGGTGCTGTTTACAAGACTGAATTTGTTCAGTGAGCTTTGTGAAAAGCGCCACAGACTGACTAAAGTCTTTTGGATAAAAGACAAAACGTTTCAACAAGAATCCGCCCAGAATACTTGACTTAACCTCGTTAGATTTATCTACCTGGACTATTGAGCATGCATCAAGATGTATACTTGGACCTTTGTCCCAGCCCTTAGGCCTTTATTAGAGCACTTTTTTTAATAGAGCCTGCCAAAGGCACGGTTTGCTTTAGCCAGCTTGTTGTTGATTTCTGTTGATTTTGGCATCTGATGAGGTCGTTCACCCAAGGTATGTGAACTGATTCACAGCCTTCAGCTCAGCTTAGTTGCTGCTGATGTGTGGTGGGTGGTACAGTTTATTGTGTGCTGGTTGATGGAGCACTTCAGTCTTCTTCACACCGACATCCAGGCTGATGGGCAGCTTTTGCAAAGCAGGTCACTATTTGCTGCACGTGAATATCGTTTTACAGTTTAACTGAATTGATTGTTATTGAATTTAAGCTTTAAGCATTTTTTTTTTTTGCTTTGGTTTAGTACACTGAGGTGACTTTTGTTGTGAATTGGTGTGTTGAACTGAATGTTCAGTCATGTGCAAAGATACAGGGAATACAATCACAAGTGTCCATTTTATTTAATATATATAAAACAACCAGAGTGACCAAAGTTCTTGTTAAAAACAAAAAGGAAAACCAACAATAAAATAAACAGGTACAACCAAACCCCAGCCGGTTGAAGCAGACGGTTGCTCGTTCTGAGCCTGGTTGTGCTGGAGGTTTCTTCCCATTAAAAGAGTTTTTCCTTTCCACTGTTGCCTTTGTGTTTGCTCAGGATGGGAGACTGTGACAAAGTGAAGATTCAACACAATCTGCTGCGTCCTTATATAGATAACTTTTACTAATCGGCTTTTTATGTATGTGAATGTTTCTGTTCAGTGCCCTGAGACGACTTCTGTTGTGACTTGGAAAAAAGTGAATTTTCAAGCAGGATTTGACTCTGCAGTTTGTAGAGAAAAGGAACAGGTTGGTCCAGAATCTGGGGACTGGCACAGCAAAAACCTGATCCCCTCTGTGCTTTAATTTAACCCTGAGCTGCACTAAGAGTAAATCACATATCCAACAGCTTTTACCATGTTCATTTAGGACAATCTTTACACCATTTAGACTCAATGCTTTTAAATAGGTCTTCTGACGGTCACTCACTTCCTGTAGCATTAATACAACAGGGATGAGGGACAACCTCGAGTCTTCAGGACCAACACAGATACTAACCACTCACGCCTAAGATCAAAAATTCAACATGCATGTTTGTGAACTGTGGGAGGAAACCAGAGCAACCAGGCAACCTCCCCAAGAAACAGCAAAGATTTGAACCTGCAATCATGATGCTTTGTCCCCTGCACCACCATGCAGCTTAGTTTTACAGACTTTTTAACGTTTTAAGGGAATTATTGTGCCTGGTTGTTTTTATAAAAATCTGTGTGAAAACAGTGAGCTGTGGACGTTAGCATTAGCTTTTAGACTGATGTTGGCTCCGTTACTGTGACGTGTCCAGAATATCAACTAAACTCATTCCTACTACACAGGACTCCTTGTAGGAAGTATAGAGAGAACTTACAGTCTTCCCATGTTTTTCCATTTCACTTCATGACGCTTTACATAAAATCCCAAAATGCATGAATTTAAAGTTCTAATTTAAATTACAAAGGAAAGGAGTGAAAACACAGAAAGGAATACTTTAAGGAGGTACTGTAGAAGCAACGCAGACCTGTTGTTTTCATGTTTGCTTCAGTTTGTGTAATTACCTGGAAGTTATGATGATGGTTGCTGTGGAGTGTTTTTCAAGTTCAACAGTTTCCGGAACATTCAGATTTACGGCGGCGTCTACGTGACAAAGACATGAAAACAGACAGAGAAGTAATAAAAAGACCGTGTCTTTCTTTTGGATAAGATGGAGTTATAGACGAGACATTGTTGACACGTCGAGTCAATAATGTCTCCTGTCATGCAGATGAAAATTTCAAGCATCAAACAAACCCACTCTTCCACTTCAGCGGTTCCACTTCATTTCAAGCTCATCTCCTCTACCTGGGACAGGTAGGGTGATTGAGGGTCCTGTTCAGTATCTGTTCCTAGGACTTCGCTCATCTGGACAGAGATCTCTGAGGTTGTTACTGGGATCTGTTGGAGCCACTCTTCCAGTTTGGGGTCACAGCACCAAGTGCTCCAATGACCACTGGGGACTACTGACACTTTGCCTCCCCAAAACTTCAGTATTGCCTCTTTCAGCCCTTGGTATTTCTCCAGCTGCTCCTTCTTCCTGATGTTACAGACTTTTGGGATTGCTACGTCTATCACCACTGCCTGCTTCTCTTGTCGACCACCACAATCTCTGATTGGTTAACATCACCTGTTTGTCAGTCTGGATCTGGAAGTCCCACAGTATCTTAGCCCGTCCATTCGCCACCACCCTGGTAGCATCTCCCACTTGGACTGTGGGACCTCCAGTCAATACTCAAAAAAGATGTTCCTGTATTATCCCAGATGTTCCTGAATATTATTCCAGATGTTCCTGGATTATCCCAGATGTTCCTGAATATTATTCCAGTATATTATTGCAGATGTTCCTGTATATCATTCCAGATGTTTCTGCATATCATTCCAGATGTTCCTGCATAGGTGTAGAGGCAGGGCAGCCGGCTTGGGACCCGAGAGTCCCAGGTTCGATCCCCAGTCACTGCACATCACGTGGCGTCTCTGGGCAGCACGTCTAATCCCCAAAATGTCCCCCGGGCGCTTTCAATAGCTGCCCACTGCACCACCTGGTGGTGGATGGGTTAAATGCAGAGACTAATTTCGCCATTGTATGGAAACATACAGTGCTGACATTGTGATGACATTATTATTATTATTATTATTATTATATCATTCCAGATGTTCCTGCATATCATTCCAGATGTTCCTGCATATTATTCCAGACCATCTGGGATAATATACAGGAACATTGGAATGATATAAAGGTACATCTGGGCCAGATGTACCTTTATATCATTCCAATGTTCCTGACTATTATTTCAAATGTTCCTGAATATATTCTAGACGTTCCTGCAAATAATTCCAGATGTTCCTGTATATTATCCCAGATGTTCATTAATAATATTCCAGATGTTCCTGCAAATTATTTTGGATGTTCCTGCATATTATTCTGGATTTTCCTGCATATTATTCCAGATGTTCCTGTATATAATCCCAGATGGTCCTGTATATAATTCCAGATGTTCCTAAATATTATTCCAGATGTTCCTAAATATTCCAGCTACTTGGTTATGGCGTTCCATGTATGCTTTGCCTGCCTGGATCTTACATCCTGCTATTATGTGATGGATTGTCTCAGGGGTATCTTTGGTCTTGTCTGGTATGGTGGACAAGGCCACCATTGCTCATGTGCTGAGGGCCTGTTATTGTGCTGCCATGATTAGTGTCTCTGTTGGACAGCAGAGACATGATTAGTGTCTCT